CTTTTTAGCTGTTTGGCTGTGGTAGGTAAGGTTTTGTTTAGCTTGAGTTTTCTTCCTGCTGCTTCATACCGCGCCTTGAAAACAATACAGTAGTTTCGATGAAGTGAGATGAGAATAAATATTGTCCTCACAGCAATGGTAGTCAAAGTTCAGCAAGTAGAGAGCGGGATAATGGCCCATTTCCTCTTTTGTATAAGCATGGGTGGTAGCCAAAGGTACTCTGTTGAATTTTGCTTCCTGTATACACTGTGTATCATTGTGTATGCTACTCGGGCCAAATTTTAGAAAGTATGCCAAGTGGAATTTCACACCAGGTTTGGAGGAAGGGAAAGACAACAAAAGGAACGTACTTCCCCTCTCTTCACCCTATTCCCACCCTTTACTAAACAACAAAGAAGACTTATACATAACAAACATTTTCAATGGAATAAAACTCTGGCTTCCCAAGAAGGTGAATCAAATATCAAGTTACTGAGAAGTCTAAACAGTTACAATCGACTCTAGTCCACATGACAGACGGAGTATGCTTTCCTGCCCTCTACTGACAGAAACACTCATTATGACCAATTTCCCAGCTCCTAGTTACCTTGCCGTCAAAGAACACACCTGGAAACAGGGCCTTGTGTACCCCCAGATTTACTGCTGACTCTCAGATAATGCCTAGGGATTTATGAGGTGAGAAAGAACTCACAATTGAAATGGAAAGGCGATTGGGAAGGAACTTAGCCGAACTACAGAGTCATGTCAGGAAAAGCCAGTGCAGGAAAAAGATAGAGGGGAGCCAGCAAAGGAAAACAGACAGCTGCAGAGGTTAAGGGTCGTTGTTTAAAAGAGAGCTTTGGCATAAGTCGAGCCAATGAATAGGTGAACTGGAGAGTAACTGAAAATGTGGGGTGGATTAATTTTGCTGTGTGCCTCAATTTCCTCATCTTTAAAATGGTACCCAAATGAAAAGGTTGTTGCTAAGACTGAGTGAAACAATGCAAAGCACTTAGCATTATACCTATTACATGTTCCAGAAATACAAATTATTGATATTAAAGTGATAAAAATAAAGGATGGGTAGTTATGTTGAGCAATTTTTTTTTAAAAGTATAGTTATTTGGGATTAGAAAGGGGCAGAATGTGTAAATTAAGGAATATAAACCATCTTAAACTGCAGAAGATAGAAGGATGATTCTTAGGTTGATAATAGAATATAAAAGAACTTCACAAATATAGTGAAGCATAATTTGTTTAATTCTGATATAGACAAGTGAAAAATGGGTATTAGAAGCAAATGTAACAACCTAATATTTTTAACAGGATTTAAAAATAAGCTTAAAAAGAAACCTAAGCAGGTGTCGAACAACGAAAGAAAAATAAATATGAGGTAAATGCAAAACAAAAAGAACAGGGAAATCCTGGAAACTTCTATTAGCCTGCGTAACTTCCTTCCCAATTATACTCATGGAAGATATATTAGTAGAACAATTTGTAAACAGCTTGATATATTCCGAATCTGACCAATCATTGATAACATTTTTTTAAGCAGGGTCATCATTGTCCTCACCATTAGTGAGGGATAGTACTATCTCTATGTGAGAAATTTCCAATGACTGTGGAGATAGAATTCTCTGGCAGAATCAGTTGGCTGCCTTCCATGATAGTATATCCTCTCCAGACTGAGTAAAGGAATTGTCTCATTTAAATGAACTGAAAGTTACTTTCATTATGAGGTGGATTCTAGTGTGCAGTAAATAGTAAGTTCTTAGATCAGCTTTCGTCTTTTGTGAAAGTTTTAGGTATCTATTAAAAAAATGGGTAAGAAATATATACTCCCAAAAAACATTGAGTAGAAACATTTTAGAGGGCTCTGTGTGTGTGTGCCTGTGTGTGCGTGTGTGTGTGTAATCACATACATACATATATACATATCCCAATACTAGACATTTTTGCTGCTCTGGAAAAGAAAAGTGAAAAGTTGGAGAGGAGGTTAGAAATAAATTGTGGAAATTAAGATATCGGGAAGATGTGCTCTCCCATAGTATAGATATAAATAATTATGAGAAATGAGCTTATAATGGAGCTCAGTTACCCCGTTTTGCTCAGAAGGCAGCTTACAGATGAGGCTGAATAAGAAAGTGAGCTACAGTCCACATCTTTATGAAATCATGGTGTGCTGAAAGATCCTGGATGTCATCAAGAATGTTATTTTAACATAATATTTTAATATAAGATAATGTCATTTTAAATACTACATGCTTTCTAGATAGATTTAGTTACTGAATTTATAGACATTGGTATGTTTAGTTCATGGCTGATTAGATTCTGGGCTCTTTGATAACTAGGATTTTCCAAATTGTTGTTTTCCTAGATGGAAATTGTCTTTTATTCCTGATATAAAATCCTGTCATTTATGTCTTTTTTAATTCCATTCGTGTGTAATAAGTAATAAAGTCTCTCACAGGCTGTTCATGCAATTAATTCTTATAGGGAAAAGGAATCATGATATTAGGAAAGAAATCCTCTTCATTCAGGGAATGATAGGAAAATGTCACTTTCGGATGTGTAAATTTTACTTGAGGAGATAAACAACATTGACATATGACATACTGCCTTATCAATCCTAAAAGTGTGTGAAAGGCATAGTAAAATCTTTCATTTATTAATAAAGCCCATTATCATTTTCTGTATTTACAAAGAAAAAAAAGGGTTAAATTTCAACATTTGTGCGCATCACAGAATCCAGCTAGAAATCTGAGCCAAGCTGTGTAGGGGCTTTGAATATACTTCAGGAGACATAAACCAATTCAGTGGATCAGACAGACAGAGTCAGGAAAGATATTTGTGCCTTTAAGGTTTTCCCTCCTCCTTTTTCCTTTGTACGTTAGGTTCCTTCTCACACATGAATGTGCAAAAGAAAAGTTAGCAGTTTACAGAAATGTAAAATACTTTGAAAAAATACTTTAACACTCACAGTCACTTTAAAAAATATTCTACAGGAGCATGAGTCTTTTGCTCTGTTGTCATTGACACAAAATATTTCTGACAGGTATTTATTACTTCCCCACCCCCCCCCCCACCCCCCGCATTTAGAATAGTTTTCTACTTTGGATAGAATTCAAAGGAATGGTCCACATATTAACAAACTGGTAGACTGAAGACTGGCAAATATAAAGTAACTAAAATTTAATTATTTGAAATGGAATTTAATGGAAAGATAAAGAGACTTGAAAGAAAATGAAGGCAAATTGTCTAAACCAATGATAGGATAAAGCCAAATTGAAGGACTTAAAGGTTAGTAATGAAACATGAAAGGATGATTATGTGTTGCCAGAGGGATCAGATTTGCCTGATTTTATTTAAATCTAGCTAAAAAGGTAGGCAGCCTAGTAATCAAATTTACAAGTAATACTGAATTAAGAGGTATTGAAAACCTCAAAGGTTTGCAGCTTGATTTCCTCTCCAACTAACCTTGCAGACAGATTAAAAGGACTATTTTAATAATTCATATCTGACTAATCTGGCTTATAAAAACTGAGAAATATTCTGTTACCATAGAAATTCTCAATTTTGTAGATTTCTTCTCCTATATCTTTAATAGATCTTTATCCCAAATTATGTGGAAATAGCTAAACCAGGAGACTAGGATAAGCTCCTTGGAAAAGCAGACACAAATGTAAAGACAATGGAGGTTAGGAAAATTCATCTAAATCTAAGCCAAATATTGATAGGAATTTTGATTCATTCAAAGAGATACAAATTAGACATGAATGTAGGCTATAATCTAAATTATGTGTAAACATCTGTACAGTAAAGGAACTTTTACTAATTGCTTACTAGCAAAGCTTAACTTCACATAAGACATTAAGGAGCTAGTCAACATCAAGTATAACAGAAAACATTCAGTTAATGCAAATTACACTGAAGACCTTTCCGGCAACTTACGTATTCAGAGAGGTATAGCTGATTATTTACTCTCCTTTTTAGCTGTATCGCAATCCCAAATGCCAAAAGAAACTACCTACCATCAGAGAGACTTGAAATCATTGTTTTGCAAGGAAATGTCCATTAGAAACTCAATTTTTCCCAAACCTAAGAAATTCATTATTATATATAGTAGCACTGTAAAGCCAAGATGAGCTCAATCAAAATGGTTCCCTCAAAATTTTAAATATCCAACATGCTTGTATCTGATTGACCCAAATCCAGTGAAGTTGATTCTACTAAATCAATATATTTAGCAGAGAATTTGAATCTCAAACATATACGGAAGAAAAAATACTTATTTTGAAACAAAGAGACCTCATCATTTCCCAGTGCTTACAACAAATACAGTGGCTTTGATGATCATTAATGTTTTCACTTCCTGAAGGCAAGCTTTGCCATATAAAAAACAAAAGTTGGGTTAAAGTTCAATAGTCTAAACGCATTTGCATTTTTAACTTGTTTACCATCATCTAAGTCATTTCTAGGCTTAAGAGATAATAGCTTTTCTTCAACTCATCTTTGGGCTTGTGGGCATTTTCAATAAGCTATCAAAGAAATTCACCCACCAAAACTTCTAAGCTTTGGTATAACAGGCTTTTACCAAGAAGTATTGGATAGAGAAAGGCATTTTTTTAAATTGTGGGTAGACCCACTCATTGTTGGAGAAACAGGTGGCTCTGTTTCCCCCTCCAGGCACCTTTACTCTCTTCAAGTCACATTTACTCATGCTGTCCCTCGCTCCTACAAACTTGCTGTCTCCAGCACCTTCTCTGATCATTTCACTCTCTTCAAAATTAATCAGATTCGTCCCCCATTTCTCTAGGAACCTTCTCTCTAACATTTCCGGGAGATGACTAGTTAATTCAATAAGCAAATCTGTACTTCACGGATACATTTGCATGTACATAGTAGCTCTGACAGGCAATGTTCTAACCAAAGGAAGGAGAATACCTGCAGCCAGGATTCTTGTGGTTGCAAACTGCTCTGTCAGTATTTTTCAAATTTTAACAGGTAGTCTGTCTTTTAAGGGTCATCTACTCTCTGAAATGAGTTCCAGCAGCATATCCTAAAGCAAAATACCATGGAAATATATGGAGGTAAGTTTCATCCCTCCTACTTGCTCTAATAGAATCACTACCAGGTACTCAGATGGCTGTTAAACCATAGACACTCATTCATACAGGGAGTTATTAAGTTATTTCACTTAAGGAAAAAAAAAAACTTCCTCGTTCAAAATCAAATCAGTATTGCTTTTGTAACATGTGACAGATTTGTTCTCTTTCTCTCTTTCTTTCTCTCTCTCTCTCTCTGCCAGCATTGGCACCTGGCTCTTTTCATGCTGCTTTACATAATTGGTCTCTGAGTAGATGAAGCTGCAACCTGTTCACAAATATAACAAATCACTCTCCTCTGAGAGGATGATTTAACTGAATCATGATGGGATAATGAGCCTAGACAGCAGTTTCACGTCCGTATACACATATAATCATTTTGTAAACTCAGTCTGATAATTTCTCATGGTAGAATAAGGGTTCTGTTTAAGTGATAACAATGTAATTATTATCTTGATCTTATTTTGATTTTCAGTAATTCTTCCACTTGACCCTTTCTACTTTTCTATTCTACCCTCTTTACCTCACCTCCGCTGAGAATATGCTGTATCCAGATTATCCGATCAAAAGCAAACATAGATCTCTGAAAAGACATCCCTCAATCGAATAATCAGGAAATCACATTTCTGGACTTTACTTCTACATCTTTCCTTGCTCAAAGAATACAGAATATTTTTATTCATTTCTAATATAGTGGAGTTTTCTAAAGATTTCCAGCATTAGTACATAGCTGGAAAAATACTGTGTCTTTGTATTTTGAAGTGCTTTAAAGGATTTAAAAGGATTAACTGTCATTATATTACACAACATTTAACAGGTGAAAGAAAATCTCATAGCTGCGGGGCTATTTCTAACCATTTTCATGGGTTCACGGTAGAGGTATCTTCTGTGAACGGGTGTCTGAAGAAAATTTACAACGTTTCCTCTGATTGCAGACTTGGTAGCATACATAATTTCTACTTAAAATAAGTGACTTAAGAACTAATTCAACCAGACCCCACTCTATCTTGAACATCACCATATTTTCTATTGGAAACATTCCCAGTGCTACTTGTAAAATACATATTAGTAAGAGAGGAACTTTAATATAGTGATGACGTTGACATGTAGAAATATTACACACATCTGACAAAAAGTATATACAATATACAAATTCTTAAATCTTCTGACATCATCCTGGTTCTTGATTCCTAAAAGGAGGAAGGACAATATTTTCACCCAAAATCTAAAAAAGACAGAGGATATATTTGATAATGTCTTTGACTACCATACTTAATTATCAAGTGACAATTTGTTTTCTACCCCCCCAAAATCCAACTTTTTATGACTGTCATGTTTTTATGATATACTACCTATGAAGAAAAACATGTATATGTATTTTATGTATAAATATATAATGCATAATTGTTTATGTCTTTTTTTTTTTTAACTTAGGCATGGGGCCCAATACAGAGCTTAAACTCATGACCCTGAGATCATGACCTGAGCTGAGATCAAGAGTCTTAACCAGACTGAGCCAACCATGTGCCCCAGTTCATCTCTTTTAAATAAAGATATTTAATCCTACAAAGTGTCTTTTGCTTATGAGTCTTCATAATTTTAAAATTGGAAGAAACCTATGAGATTATATAACCTAACAGATAAAGAACTGAAATCCCATAAAGCCCCCAAATCCAGAGAGTGGTGGTCTATGAGAGCAAGAACCAAGTCTGTTTTGTTAATTTTTATATCTATAGTGCTTTACAAAGCAGCAGATAGGCATTTGATAAATATTTGCTATGTTAATGTGTGAGTGAAAACCAGGACAAGAAAACCAGGACTGCTCTATGTACCTTTAGCACTTAGATTTACATAAACAACATCTATTTGATCTTTAGCAAATTTGGTTCAGTAATTATTGAATACTTTCTACCTATAAGAGAGTATGCAAGATAATAGGGATAAAGCAATTTGTTAAGATGAATAACTCCTGCCTAATGTAATTGGTTATTATAGTTTAATATCACTGAAATAAGGTAATTGCTAAATAATAGTTGCAAAATACTGTGAAGGGAGAAGGTATTTCCCATTGGTGGTATCTGAAAAGTATTCATGAATGAAGTCGTATTTGGCCTACACCTTGAAAAATTGTTACAAAATCAATTAACAGAACTGTTAGAAAGGTCCCAAGAATGTTCTAGGAAGAACAAATTTGAACAAAAACACAAAGGCAGGAAAAGGCATGACTTGTTACCGTATGATGGGTGGTTGGCAGTAGTATAGTATATGTAGTTAGAAATAAGCTTGGAAGAGATGTGAAGGGCTTTGAATGTCCACGTTTGTGGGCAATGAGAAAGGAAGGCTTTGACCAAGAAGATGTAGCATACTATAGAGCTATCAAGGTTGTTTTGCCTGCAGTGCCCAGAAGAGAGGAAGGATCGAAACTTTCCTTTAGAGTCCTTATGTAGGGGGCTGAATTATGTGCTGGATTGTACAGACAACAAATACTTCCTTTAAAAGATCCAATGTGAGGGGCGCCTGGGTGGCTCAGTCGGTTAAGCGTCTGCCTTCAGCTCAGGTCATGATCCCAGGGTCCTGGGATTGAGTCTTGCAATGCGCTCCCTGCTCAGAGGGAAGCCTGCTTCTCCCTCTGCCTGTGCTTGTGCCTTCTCTCTCTCTGACAAATAAATAAATAAAATCTTTTTTTTTTTTAAGATTTTATTTATTTATTCATGACAGACAGAGAGAGAGAGAGAGGCAGAGGGAGAAGCAGGCTCCCTGCTGAGCAGGGAGTCCGATGTGGGACTCGATCCCAGGACTCTGGAATCATGACCTGAGCTGAAGGCAGACGCTTAACCATCTGAGCCACCCAGGTGCCCTAAATAAATAAAATCTTAAAAAAAAGATCCAATGTGATTGTCTGGACATAATCCTTTTATTCATTATAAGATGGCTACTAGTAGTATGGAGGTAAGAGAGAGGCATACGTGGGTGGAGTGAGCCACGAAAGGAAAGGAAATAGAGCAGCAGCTTTTGTATTTTGAGGACATTTATTTTGTGAAAAAAAATGTTTTATTTTCTATAGATGCTGTCAGTATTGAAGATGTTTTGAGACATAAATGCTGAGACCAGGAGATAGAAACAAGAGACTAGGAGAAATTATAGGAAATTAAAAGAGACATGATACAAAAACTTGATATATGACCTCTCTCCTCTTGAGAACTTATAACAACTGTTGCAGGTCACTACAGCTACATTTCAATCCAGTCTAGAGAGCACCAAATGTCAACATACATCAGGTTATTTCCAAACATACAAACATCCATCTAAGAGTAACTTTGTTTTGTTTTAATACTAAAGTAACTTCAACCTAACTGTGGTCTTTTAACTTATTACATTGCCAGACATTAGGAAGTATTACAGGATTTCATTTGATGGGATTTTTAAATACTTTAAAATTTCATCATCCAAGTCGAATTTAAACAACGCTGGAATCCAAAAGCATTAATGGTGAGACAAACTAAACAGTGTAGGTATAATTGTTGACACCTTTTCTTATGTGTAAGCTACGATTAAAACATATAGGGTAAGCTAAAATGGATCTCAATTTTTTATTAAATATTAATTTGTTTAAAATTAGTGTATGGGTAGAATGCTATCCTTTTTATAAACAAATGTATGCAAGAATCATTATTGCTTTGGCATAAAGAAAGCAAAACTTACAAATTACCTTTCCTTTTCCCCTGGCATTCTGCAGCAGTCTCCCATTGAGATTTAAACTCAGGACCTCCTGAGAACAGATGGTGGAGACCTTATCTTCTTGCTGATCACAGCGTGGGGCAGTGTAACTTGGTCTGATAATGCAGTCATTTGAAATACAATGCTTCTGTTAGTCTTCCATTCGCCTCTGTTTTTCAGATAAATGCTTTATTTTTGTCAGCAATAAATATTTCATTTCTATTTGGCCTGCCCCCACAAACCGACCTGGAGCAAATAAAACCAGCAGAGACAATCCCTTCTCTTAGATTTAGGTTTGGATGGTAGTATATAATCAGTAATCCCAATTTCTCCCTTCTGGCAATTTTCATCAAGCAGTTTTACTTCAAGTTGCACGTACAAGGTTTGCTGAGGACAAAGTAAACTGAGTAAATTCTCAGGAGAAGGAAGATGGAGGACAAGATAGATGTTATGATCTAAATAATCCCTCATTTTCAACAGATAAATAATGACCCCGATAAGACACCGTAATGGATTTTTTTCCTCCCATTTTTTATCTCAGACTTATAAAGAGGTCTCACTGATCTAGATCAGAGAACAGGTATTTAAAAGCTACTAGCATTCTCTTCATTTCTTTCTCAGACACATATATCTACATTCATATACACAAGTACATATTGTAAACTTTGTGACAGAAACTACTTATAAAAGGCAGAAGATTTGAGAACACAATGGAAACAAGGAGCTATAATAACAACAATAACATTACTTTATTATCAATACTATTACTTCATTATGTTATTAATACATGGCCCAATTTTTAACCTACTCATATTATGCTTGAAAGGAAGACTTAAGATATAAAAAAGATGAGAGAGAAAAAAAAAAAATCAAAGGAAACGTTTGAAGCCTATCACTTGATTTATACTCTTTAAAGGACATAAAATATAGCATGTGAAAAAAAAAATAATCATACCAGAAATCATATTATTTTCACTTGTGGTTTAATGAGTAACATGTGAATGATCTCTCATAGACAGATAAGAAACAAACATAAAAATGAGCATTTAACCAATAATCCTTATTAAACCAACTCAAAGCCTTGACAGATCAGAAAGCATTTTCAAATGTGTCAGAGCATGCTTAAGAATGTGGCACCTGGTTAGAATTCTATGCAGGAAGAATATTATTCACAGTAAAGTTCTGGGGAGCAGCTTAATTGGCATACAAAGAGAAAATGGACAACAAGACATTACTTAAGATTTGTTTACTCTTACAACATTTGAAGAGAATACCCAATTTCCCCAATTTCTATTAGTTATTTCTAAAAGAAGCAATTGAGGCAAAACCTTGCTACTTCGAGAAAGGAAAATGTGCTTATCACTTGCCTTTATTGTGCACTATTGTGGGAAACACTGATCAAGTATCATTTGTGATACATGTTTCATTTTCATTCATGATGTATTAGAAACAATTTACAGACCCACATCCAGAGAAAATGATTACTATAGAATAGCTAGAGTTCTGTTTTCTTCTTTTTCAGTTCCTCTCTTGGTATTAAGATAATCAAATCTTCATATTAGACACTTTTTTTTAAAAAAAAAAGGCTATTAGACAAAAAAAAAAATACCCAGAACCTTCTAAATTAATAAAGACCTCTTTCTAAATGCATCACATGGTAGGGATACTGTTTCACAGTAAGTGACGTTTACCAGACATAATAATTTTTAATGTTTGAGTCGTGCTTACTTTTATGAGTTTAAACTTAACTCATAGTTGAATTAATAATTTCATACCTTAATAACTACAGAAGCTTTGGAAAGCCTCTATTTCTATTTTATCCACAGAAGAGTTGAATTCTCCTATTCCTAAAATCTGGCTTCATAAAACTTTTGACTTTGCCTTACAATCCGTATATCCCATCAAAATGTCACAAGCAAAAATTCTAGTTTCAAAAATAGTATATTAAAACTACACTACACCTTTAACTTAAGAAAAGTCCATAAATATTGATGACATATGGATAGGAAGCAACTGTAAAGCAGATAATTTTATTTAAGAAGTAACGGGTCAAAATGATTTATACAGATAATCTATAGCAGATAACACTGAGCATAACTTCTGTATAAAACAAATGCTTACTGTTGTCACAGCTGGGAACGTGACCTTTTCAACTTTTTAAGGCTCCACCTTTGTGAATTATTGGCAATTTCCTCACTATTGGGAAGGCATCCCCTTCCTCAGCACCATGTTCTTTCTACCTCTTTCTGTATCTGTGTACACAGTAACTAAATAAAAACAAGACTATTGGCAAGTTGAATGTTTTTGCTGTGCAAACCACAGTTTTTCTGGGAACTCCTTTTTAACCAACATCTAGAATCTTTGAGTGACAATTGTAATACCAGAGCACCTTCTGGGAAGTGCCCTGGAAATGCTCTCGTTACAGGGCGTTTATTTGAGGACCATCTTGGATGATCCTGAGAAAGGAGTCAAGAACAAAGGACATTAAAATGAAACTATTCTGTTTGTGGAATAAATAGTAATCATGACTTTGTTCTTACCATTTTTAGAAATTAATTCTTAGGGATGCCTGAGTGACTCAGTCAGTTGAGAGTTCAACCCCTGATTTCAGCTCAGGTCATGATCTCAAGGTCATGAGATCCAGCTGGGGCATGGGCTCTGTGCTCAGCAGGGAATATGCTGGAGATTCTTTCCCCCCGCCCCTCCCCCCATTCTATCTTGCTCTTGCACATGCGCACTCTCTCTCTTTCCAAAAAAAGAAAAGAAATTAACTCTTAAAACTTGTTTGGTCTAACACTCCCAGTTAGCCAGGAAAGGCAACAGAACTGCCAGAAGGATCTGAAGCACTTC